AGGGAACTTATGGAGACAATACTTTCCTCGAAGTTTTTCTAAAATTTCGTGTCCGTCGAGGCCTGACATAAAAATTTCATCTACCGTGTCTAATCTGATTTCGGAATCTGCTGCCTCTTTTGTCCGACTTTTTTACACTCAATCATTTTCCACCCTCTTCGTCTGTTTAATCGGCGGATTTTTTTTGTTAACGGACAATATTAGATAATCGTAAAAGTTAGATGACACAATTATTGCATAATTACAGTCAATATAATCAGAAACATTCTGTTTTTTATTCTCGAGTAACGTAACTGTTAGTAAAATATTAGGTAAAGTGTTATTTTTCCAAGAGTTGCGTAAAATTCGTTTCACGAAAACAGATATACCAATCATTTCTACGAAATAATGCGAGAACATCGTGAAAAATCACAATACACGCGTTCAAAATCTTTTCTCTTTTAATTTCAATTTTACCATCTTTCCAAGAAGAAAAAAAAAAGGAAAAACACGCTCTTAATATTTTCGTACACTCGTACACAGAACTGTTTTCGAAAACTATTTTATCGTCGATCACGAAGAAAGGGGAGAGTGTGGCAAGTGTTTCGAGACTACAAAAGCTAAGTGAAAGCGAAACATTCAATTACACGTTCGTTCATCGACGAATCGATGCTTTCCCTCTTTTCTTCCCCCTCGCCGAAGATATCAAAAGTGGCAGGATAAACACAAACGAGGTGCACGCATTCGCAGGAATGGCGCGGAGTACCGACATTAGAAGTGAAACGATAATAGACGGGGGCTGTAATTGTTCCGTGTTCCACGAAGCGTACAGGTCGTAACAACCGAATTTGCATGGGGATACAATCCCCAGGCATCGTGGAAATAACAGAAACTCGCCGGTTCAAGCAGACCATTTCTTTCGGACAATTAGAAGTAATAGGGACGTTCGGACAGAGCGACGTACCAATCATTGTTAATTGACATCACGAGCTGCGAAAGGATTCAGTTCGCGGAGGTTTTCCTTTTTCTCTTTCTTCACCTGCCCATCTTGTTGAGAATTACGCGCAATTTTCGGCTAAGAAATAAAATCGAGACAGCAGCAGCAGCAACAGCAACGTGGAGATTTCAGAAACAGCCAGGAGGTCGAGAGAGTGGAGGATGTGCACACACGCTTCTTCGCACCGGCTGATTTTCTTTCGTCTCTCCTTCGTGTACCCTTTCCCTCCTTTTTTTTTCCACCCTTCCCCCAAACTCCCCCCGCCCCGTTTATTTTCTGCCTTTTCTTCCCCGGGTCTCTCCGTCTTCCTCTGTTTCTCTCACGGTAACCGATGGAGGACATCTCACCGCTAATTATGATTAATTTGTGAGATGAGCGAACGGGTCTCGAAGCCAGGAGCTACCAAGATGTAGGGGATCAATCATTGGGGAATGTAATTAATATTCTCAGCGGGAGTGCGTTGTAACGTAACGTGAACGTCACCCAGGTGACTCCTTCGTCGTTTTTCTCATCCTAGTTTGGTGCCCCGGTTCGCCCTTTTCTCTGCAACGCGTTCACCGTGAATACGCATAATAAAAGCCGAGGACGATAGCTGCTAATTGCTGTTTAAGCCGGCGGCAAGTCATCGTTGCACACACACACACACCTAGCGGGCCGAGCTGTGATATTATTATTGTGCAATTTCCTGTTGTTCAAGTGGAGTTTCGAGATGAACGATATTTCGAAGGATTCGGAGGAAATAGATGGGCTGTAGCGTATTTTCTCAATGGAAATGATTGAGATATATAGACTGTCGATGATTGATAGCGGTGAAAATAAACGTGCCTTCGGTATTATCGAATTAGGCTACCACGTATCGTACGATCTGGTTTAACCTTGAAGAATGAGTTTGTCGTTTGAGCGGAGGATGTGTAAGGTGTATTTATTAGTATATTTGACCTGGCTATATCTTCTTTTTAACGTGGCTATTTCAATGGAAATTGACGCTACCCCTAAGACGAAGTAGAAGAACTTGCCGAATTTTCACTTGGACAAATTTCAAGGAACATACGGGGTTATAAAAATAAAAATTTTTTAAATTAGCAGTCTGTTCAAATAATTAATATCGTGATTTCGGATAATAAAGTTGTGTCCGATTTACCGAAATTATTCGAACAGGTTGATTTCGAGAAGGAAACTAAATGGAAACTTTAAGATAAATTCTTATTGAAGGAAATTTTTGAAGTAAACTGATTTTCGAAACTCGTGAAATATTCGTGAACTCGATTAAGAATCAGAAACAACGACGATATCGATATTCGGACTTGAAGGTACATGGTTAAATGTCGAATTTTTTAAAATTTGTTAATTCGACTGCGGATGTGGCTCTTGCGACAAAAAACATCTTTCATGTAAGTTATCGCCTAACCATTAATTTCAATAAATACAGCCTCTAATTTGAATCTAAGAATAAGTGTCCTCCGCGTCTGAAGTATGGGTAGCCTAATTGATGGGGCCCAATAGAGAAGGTCTTGGACAAAACACATTTCCGCTTCTACCTTTGTCTCTTACAAAATTTATTCCTCTCGTTACAGCGACCATCACACGATAAGAGAATTACCAAAAAATTCGACTACCTTATAAATTTATAAATCTTTGCTAATGTCAACTAATTTTCTTTTTACTTTTCGAAGATACTAAATGATTATTTAGCGTGTTAACGAATGAGGCTTTAGTTTCATCTCCAGGAAGATTGTTTCGAGACTGCGATTAATAGAAATCTAAAATCTAGAGTAAACAGATTTAATACGATCATATCGATGGCATAGTTACCGTGTTTAGCGTTACATACCGTGCAATAAAATCTAATTTTATCAACGCAGTAGCTCAAACGGAGACTCGAGCTGAAATTAATGTGGCACGCTTCCATTTTTAAAGTAACAGCCACAGACAGGTGATATTAGAAAAGTTAAGAGATTGAGCATAACGAAAATTATCTGATATCCTCGAATCACTATTTTGGGCATATAAACGAAGGTTATCTTGATACTTCACGGCACGCGGCCAACCGATAAGGCGATGCAATTTGGAACGCAGAATAACGTTATGCACTTAGTCTCTTCTTTTACGTCACAAATAATTTCCCTTAATTTTCCTCAAAGATACTCTTCCACTTTTTCACGAGAAGCTGCAGATACACAGTCCTTTTCTCTCTCAAAAATTTTACAAAATCAAACAACTTCGGCAAGATCCAAAAAATTTCTTACCGCGACTCGAATCACTAAGAATTCCAAGATCCAACACGAACAATATTAACCGTACCATACGGATGGATTAACTTTTACGTGTCACAAAGCTGGTGTTCGCGGCGCACCGCGATCCACGCATCGTTTCTCTCTGTTTACGATCAATAAAATCGGCTCAAGGGAAATCCATATTTTACCAAGAATTTATCGGACCCGATTTAAGCACCGACGACCGCCCTGTAACGCGTTAATTGCTCAATCTGCTCGATATAGGTCTCTCGGTAAGGGTGGAGGGGGACCGAAAAAAACCGCGCATCATTCTAATTCACGAAACGAGCGGGCAGAAGCTGTTCCGCCTAGTAGCACGCGGATAGCCGTGCTGGATTTTAATAAACGGTTCCCCGGTCAATCCCATATACACAGAGCAGCGGCTGCGGAGATGTTTCGTCTGGTAGCTACCAGGACCACGCGCTCGGGGAGAGGTTAATCACCCGCGTTGGATTTTAATAAACGGTTCGGGGGGCAAACAAAGCTGGTCATCAATAACCATTCCTCTCTCCCTGCCCCTATCCCTGTCCCCTTTGTCACTCTTTCTCTCTCTTGTTCCGCCGTGGTGGTCGAGAGAGACCTACTACCTCACCCAGCCAACCCGGCAACGGCAGAGAACCGTGGCCAGAGGAGAGAGCCTTTGCCACCAGCTTGTCGAGCCTCATCGGACAACCAGATAGGCGGAGATCGTATCTGCGTGGTTATTAATTAACCGGCGAGAAGGGAAAGCCTCCTTTCATCACCTCGCAAACGATCTGCCTTCGCTCGGCGTCGGCCTTGCCCTAACGACGATATAGACAGCTTCGTAGAGTAGCGGTGCATGCGAGCAGAGTCGTTTCCTCCGCGAAATCGACTTTTTAAGGACGAGTGCTTCCGGTTATTACCGGGGACACTACTACTTCGTTCGAGATGTTTCGTTTGCAGGATGTTAGGAGGATGTTGCTCGGTTGGGTGTTCGATACTTAACACTCTGGCTGTGGCAGATTTTGGTGTGTAACGTTGTGCGGCAGACGCGGTCAATTTTTAACCGCTGTTGCAAAATTCGGTTTATTTAATCGAGCCTTGAGTGGGCAACTAAAATTTTCTAAGTTCTTTCGAGCTTTAATGTTGGAAATTTTTTGGGTTAAGTTTCATTCTCGAAACTTATATCGACGTCAACATGGCCAAAAAATGGTCACAGGGACATAGAAAATTGTTGAAGGAAATGTAGGAATCTAAAAATATAGAAGTGCGTGAAGGATGAAATTAAGTATGAATTAAAGTGGAAATGCATCGGAAAGCTGCGAGGAAATTTATCGAAACGTCTATGTGCACCAATAGCAATGAAAGGGTCGAGGGAGTCAAGTTTTACACTTCCGGTTTCTTGACCCGATGTCTTCTTGTTTCTAACGCATCGATACATTTTTAATGCGCAAGGATACGTTGGTGATTCGCGGATAGAACGAATTCAATCTTTTTTGTTTTTTGTACTGTTTCGTATCTGCTTAAAAATTATTTTTCAGAATTTTTTCTATTCCTGAATTCCCTAACCCAATTTGTGTACTTATCAGTCTACAAATGGTTCTCTTATATGATAAATAAGTTATTCGTTTTATTCAATAAATATCTTTAAGTTCCATTTAATACTGAATAAATTGGACACTTTTTACTTGATGAAAGAAACAAATAACGACGATGAATAGTAGGCAAAAGCACACCGTGGAATTAGTATTGAATAAGGAGGAGAATTTATCGGAGTTAATACTACTCACCCATTTATGGAAGTGCGGCTGATGAACCAAGACAAAGCAGATCTTGCCAACGAATGCCATGCTTGTAATGGTAACGAGTCCGATCTCTCGACGGATTTTATTAAGAAGATTTCGGCAGTTTTGTCAGGTTGATCATGCTGGGCTCCTGTTCCGAGGGAAATCCATAAACGGAGCAAATCCTCCCGAATTTTTGCTTTGTCCACTTTGTACCACTGTAATAAGAAGCAAAACCGTATGAAACCTTCTTCCGTGAACAGCACGAATACCAATTACAGAAAGTATCCCTTAGGTTATTTTCCATTATCATTTGCAACAACGTATTCTGAAGTATCGAGAAAATTTCACGTTGAAAATGTACATTTCGTATTTTCATAACTATTAATATTTTTAACATTTAAAAGATTTAACAGCACCGTTTGCAAAAATCTTGAAGATTTCAAACTTTGTTTAATTGACCTTTCCGAAATTATTTCCTACGGATTAGCAGGTCTTCAAAAATGGTATAAATTTTATTTAAATCTTTTCTTAAAATCTTCTAAAAGGCTAAAAGGGATAGTTTCTTCCTTTTTCTCAAATCGCGAATTTCGCTAAAGATGATTTGCACAATATTTAAATACAACTTGATCCGAAAAAATCCTGTAAAAGATCTTTACGAATGTTACCAGTGTCCTATAAATGATAGGAACGCGAAGCTGCTAAAAAGGAAAAATATAAAATAGAATTCTCGAAATAAAAAAAAAATAATCCCGTAACACAAGGATTCGTCAGTAACGAACAAACCAACAGCCTACAATTCGAACAAACCTAATTCACCCATTAGTTCCATTTTACCAACTCTAATTAAAAAATGTCCAGCCGAAAAAAGTTACGCGATTTCGTCGAAAACGACAAAATCCGTACGATCTATCAGCTAAAAATTCATATTGTGATGAATTTTCAGTCCAGCTTGTACGCAATAAAGAACGGTCGGTGCGCGGTGTGTTCCGAACCGGTCCGTATCGGCGAATATTTTCAATTTCGCAGGCAATCACGACACGCATCACGTCCGCGGTCGCGGCCTCCGCAAAATTTCGCGGTGGGTTAATGCGTCAGAATAAGAGCCGCAGCCCCCTTCCGATTCATTAACATCCCGCAAGGTGTCCCGGCAAAAAGTGTTTCTCGCTTCATTATCGAATCCGCGTATCGCGACATTAACGATATTCCGTTGGTACACCGGGTGAGCAGTTTCGGCGCGGAACCGCAAAACAGTCGGAGAAGCAATTACGTTGACCGGTCCACCGGCGAGCAACACACAAGCAACACTGGGATCCAGCAGCAACAGCAACAGCGACGACGAGGACGAGGACGACGGCGACCAGCGCAGCGGTCCAATGGCTTGGTACACGACAGATATCCGATTTCACCGTCAGCTTCCGAGAATGAGAACCAATTACGCGGCCCGGGGCATTAAGGAATCGATCTAATTTGCGCGCGGTGGTGGCTCTTAATGGCGAGAGCCGACCGATGAAATTATACGAAAATGTAATCAACGCGCTTTTTGTCTCGTTTCGCTCCCAGGGCAAGGGCGTAATTAGGAATGCTTTTGCGCCTCGTGACGGGGGACACTTGTTGCTCTCTCTCTCTCTCTCGCTCTCTTGCTCTCGTCCGTTTTCTTTCTCCTCATCCCAACCCAGCTACCCCATTATTTCCCGCGCCACTTTCAGGCTCGCAAGTCAAGAGAGCTCGAAAAAACGAGGAGAACGATGGAGGAGTATGGAGAGGTAGAAGGACCCAGCCACAGAAGGAGAGTAATTAACACCATGGTGCCCAGGTGCGCGGCCCTAAGAAGTCGTTTATGGATTGCTCGGCAGCCGCGCCGTACGCGGCCATCAATTAGATTCTCTAATTAAAACAGTCCCTTCTCGGCCTCGGGGAATTAACTCCCGACGAACCTCTGTAATATTCTGTCGACTCTGTCATCGTCGGATTCTATAGGCTCGGCCCCGGCTTTGATTTGTTTTTCTTTCTCTTTTTGCTTTATTCCCTCTCTCTTTTTACGTCATGGTTTTTAAATCACTTCGGAAATGATACAATGTGGCCAGGGCGAAATGTGCCAACGGACTACGGGTGAAAATGTAACCGTTTGAAACCGTTCCTTTCTTCCATTCTTCCGTGAATTTCGCCAAGTATCGGACGTGATTTTTGGCTGGAAATTTTTACATTAGGGTTGGCAGAAGGGAACGAATGGGTGAATTAGTTTTGTTCGAATTTTATGCTGTTGGTTTGTTCGTTATTGGAAATCCTTATGTTATGCGTACGTATAATTAAGAAACACGGGATTGCAAAGATTAACGTGTATTCACAGATCAATCCTAAGATTCGGTACAATTTGAGCTTCAAAACTTAATTTTTTTTTTCTCCACTAAGGAAATTTTAAGTTTTATTACTTGACCAATACCTCTCAATTCTTTCATATTTTATTAATACACCGGGGAATTGAAATTGCGCGAAATTATTCTTGAAGTTACTCCAGATCGCCACTGCACGAAACCTGTAACGCAGGACCATTCTCAATACTCAACGATCTAAAATATAACGCCATTGTCAACGTGAGAAAAACACCTCGCAGAAATGACTCGACATAAAGGGTAACGCGACTTAATGAAATTAACAAGAAACTCGAGAAAAAGAAAATCTCCTCGACTCGAAGCGCATTTGTCGAAACAATGAATCATAACTCGATTATTACTTTAATGAACTCTCGACGACTTTTAGCTGGTAATTGAATTGGAATAATAGTGACAAAGGAGAGAAGACCAAGAAAGAATCTGAAAATCAGCAGCAGCCTACCAGTTGCAAGACGAAGAGAGAGAGAGGGAGACACAGGAGAGGAGTGGTATACGATTTTAATTATAGCTGGCAGCGTGCATCGCTAATTGCAGGTAGCCCGAGCTTCCACCTCCGTCATCACACTTGCATTCGACTTTTTCGCGACTTTTTCTCCACGAATTACAAATGGCTACCGACGTGGTCGCGCGCAGCCGGACAGCATTCCTCTTTGTATCATTAGTGGCGACTTTCTGTGGTGACGTCGGACGGGCACAGGGCGAATACGCTGAAGGGAATCAGATTCGCACACCTTCCGTGTAGTCCACCGCCATGCACCAATCGCCTCCCAACGACTCAGACAACAGGTAGCCAACTCGGAAATGACGCTCATCTAAATCAACGTCTTGCGCCGCACCGACAAACACCACGAACAAAGACTCCATTTTTCTACACCGTTACATCTCATATTTTAATTGTTCTTTCCCCTTCGTTTCTGCGAAGGGGAATCAAACAGGTGTAAGGATTTGTTTTTTTAGCAATATATTGGCATAATAGTCACAATAGTGTCACTTCGACAGAAATTTGCATTCCAATTTCTAATTAACTTCTAATTAACCAACTTTTCATTATCAGAGCCACCGAAATCGCCCATTTTCGAATTTTAATAACTCACGCTCTGATAAGGTTACTATAATTATTCTGAGCAATGTTTTGAAACATAAGAAATGTTCAGGTCGTGATCCATGGATCATAGAAAAATGTTAAAAGCAAAGGTGGTTGAGACAATAGAACTACATTATAAGGAGCTTCTCTTCGTTTTATGGCCGATTTTACTATATTTTAACAGAGAAGAGGATAGTGGAATTATTAATAACACACACAAATTATCACTGAAGTAATATCTGCCATTTCTAATTAATAGGGTTACTAGCGGCACGAACGGGCGTTTTATTCTAAAATGTAAAAAATATAAAGATAAAAAGGAAGACGATAAACGTGCGTGACAATCAGTACGTGTGACAGAAAAAGTTGCTTCGTGTGACAATTTTAGCCTAAGAGGTCTATGCAGCTCATCGCGCGAGGTTCGTGTGTTCAACACATTTCGCCCGAAATGGTTATGCGCTCCTTTACGACGATGCACTACAGTGCATAGGAAAACTTGCGAAACGTAAACTTAGCCTTATAACCGTGTCATCGTGCTATTTCCCGGCAATGCGAGTATTTCAAAGTTACGAGATTTTTGACTGTCCTTACCACTTACTTTCTTAACAGGGTATTCCCCCAAAAGTGTACGAGAGATAGACACTTTTTAGGAATTTTCTTCTTCTATATACAGTAAATTCTCTACAAGAGTCAGTAAGTTTGGATTCTACAAGTGACAGTATAGATGATCCTACGCCTAGGCTGCGTCATTGCTGCGTCCATGTTATCTCGCTCGCAATCAGTCGGTTTCCTTTACGAGATTTCACGGCTCGACAAATCATAATAGAAAAATATAATTTCTTTAATTTTACTTTCCTTCATCTGGAATTTTTTTTAACATGTTGCTGAGATTTTTCTGATGAAAATGATATCAAACACGATATAATTTGAACAACATTTACTTATTAATACTTATTGTGTCACGCCAGATTTACAGGTTGCTGTCAGGCGGCCACAAGAAAATACATTTTAAGCATAGGATTATAGCATTATGCTTTATAATTTTTTTTTTCAATTGAAAATAATGTCTAGCTAGCTATGACGTTCAAAATTTTTAGTTGACAACATTTATTTTATTTTAATTATTCTAAACACTTGAGGCACTCCAGTCACTGATGACCACCATGGCCATATCGAGGAAACAATCTAACGTTAAAACTTATTGAGTGATTAATTTAATTTCATAATATATCGCTTTGGATAAATTTATTTTCAATATTATTATTGAACTAAACTTGTGCGTAATGCAATTGAGAAATTGAAAGAATCAAAAGAAAAAACGCGAATTCGTATCTTTTTCGATTCTAGAGTATAAGAAAATTTGAATAAAATACGCGACGAGAATTGGGGAGAAGCATAAGTTAAACGCGTAAAAATATTCAATAATAAACGAACTAGGGATGAAGCTATTATTTCAATACGCAATGCACTGGCTCTAGTGTTAGTTGAGTCATGCACTAGTAAAGTATATGAGTATATTAAAGCATGTGAGTAGACTAAAGTGTGTGAGTGTACTTAATTGAGTCATGCACTAGTAAAGTATATAAGTATAGTAAAATGTATCGAGTGTAATAAAGTGTATGAGTATAGTAAGTACGAGCGTGGTAAAGTATGAGTATACATGCATGAGTACTTTCATTTTGATGAAAATTAAGAAATGGAATTTTTACATAATTTTAAGCCCATCTTGAAGATTTCTTGA